CGGCTTCGGCCAGGCAGGGGACCTGAGGAAGCACCTGCGCGTGCACACGGGCGAGCGGCCCTTCGGCTGCGCGCTGTGCAGCAAGAGCTTCAGCCAGTCGGGGGCGCTGGGCTCCCACCGGCGCACCCACGCGGAGGACCGCCCCCATGGCTGCGCCCGCTGCGGCAAAACCTTCGGCCAGGCGGGGGAGCTGAGGGTGCACCAGCGTGTGCACATGCGCGAGAAGCCGTACGGCTGCGCCCAGTGTGGCAAGCGCTTCGGCCACACGGGGGCGCTGGAGATCCACCGACGCACCCACACCGGCGAGCGGCCCTACTGTTGCGCCGCCTGCGGGAGGAGCTTCATGCAGCTGGAGCACCTGAAGGCCCACCGGCGTATCCACACCGGTGAGCGGCCCTACGCCTGCGCCCACTGCGGCAGGAGCTTCAACCGCGAGTGCAGCCTCACTAACCACCGGCGCACGCACACTGGCGAGCGGCCCTACTGCTGCGCCGCCTGCGGGAAGAGCTTCGGCCAGCTGGGCACCCTGCGGCGCCACCAGCAGATCCACACAGGCGAAAGGCCGTATGGGTGCACGCAGTGTGGCAAGAGCTTCGGCCGGGTGGGGGCCCTGAGAGCACACCAGAGAGTCCACACCAGAGACGGGCTGGAGGCAGGAGCCCCACAGTCTGCAGGTACAGACAGGAGCCCCGAGAGCACTGGAGAGTCCAGCTACAGACAGGAACCCTGACAGCTCTGCGCCAGCCTCTGGAGATCCCTGAGCTCCTGTAGTGGGGTTCTCTCCTTACACTTCAGCACTTTTCTGGACACTCCACTCGAAGCATTTTTAGTGGGGACTCCCCTCCACCAACATTGTGCTAGCGCATGGGTTAGCAACTCCCTACTGGCTCCTCTAACACCTCTTCCAGCAGCAGCCTCAGCTTTCCCAGGAGTCTCCCCTCCAGGTGCTGACCAGGCTCACAGCTGCTGAGCTTCAGTGGGCTGAAGGCTGTGAGCTGCAGGGGGATATAGCTGCTGCCTACACACTGGTCAGGGCATCTCCTTTCCTAGCTAAGAAATTAGAGTGGCGTTGCGAGTGCTGTCATTTGGAGAAGACGTCCCTTCTCCAAATACGTCCCTTGATACGAGGGCGATAGATTTGCTGTTGCCATGTAAGAGTTGGGAATCAGTATGACTTTGAGCTCCTGAGTGGAGGGTCATGGGTTCGAGCTCCAGGTACCAGTTTGGTACTGCACAAGTAAATCTTTGCTGTCAGCCAGAATTCGAGCTCAGTTGGCATGTCTGGTTTAATAAAGGATCAGGAAAGCTGCTTTTTGTGTCCTGTGGTTACAGTGACAGACAGGAGCCTGGGGGGAGAGAGGCTGTTTCTTGTTAGTGACGATCACAGAGAATAATACATTCGTTTGATTATCACCCGCACACAAGTCCTGTGGTTACAGTGACCGGAGCCGAAGCAGAGAGCCTGTTTATTGTCAGTGACGAGCCCAGCAGACGCACAGTCGTTTCATTGGTGTGTTACAGCATCATTCACACTTCACAAAGCTGGACGAGAAGCACAGCTTTCTGCTCAGTGAAGAGTTCCAGTGTCTTCCTCCCAGGAAGCCCACATCCTCACCTCCACCCTTGAAAGACCCATCATGGGGGGGGGTATCATCAGAAATCAGAAATGTAAGAAAACTAATGAAAACAAAAGATCTAAACCACTGATCACACACAGCAGATTAAGTCAAATTAAGTACATTTACAGTGTGACTTTTCAGAGTTTGTCTAGTTTCTTCATCTCTTGATGAAGCACAGAGAAAGTTTCTTGACCCCACTTAAAAGTTTCCATTTTTTTCCCCAGAGCTGAAATTCTACAATTATAATATCTAGGTACATTTCTGTATTACAACTTTGAAAATATGGGGTAAATGCTCAAGAGCAAAGAGCTCTGAACATCTCCCTTTAAAATTGCAAAGTATGTTAATAACAAAAATTCTAAAATCTATAAAGCTTGCATATTAGGAAACCTACTCTCACAGAAATGCAAAATTTTAGAAACTATCATCTCCAATGGGCTGTAAAACTGAGCCTGGGCCAGCAGAGGGCACCAGAGTCACAGCTCCCAGAGCCCCAGAGCTGCCCAGTCCTCCTGCCTGTGCCTGGGGAGATGCTGCTGCTGTCAGACTCTGCCTGGGGGTCTCTGGAGACACTAAGCTGTGGAGGAAACACAGAACCACACAGTTACAAAAGCACACAGGTGCTGCACTGCTCCCTGCTGGACTGGGGGAGTCACTGCTAATAAATGTCCAATGTAGGTGACACACAATCTGGACAGGACATTGTTCATCACAGGACACACACACACCCTGAACAGGATAGCAGTCCATCACTGGACAGACACACACACCCTGTGAAAGATAGCAGTCCATCACAGGACACACACACACTCTGGACAGGACACCAGTCCATCACAGGACACACACACCCACTCTGGACAGGACAGCAGTCCATCACAGGACACACACACTCTGGACAGGACAGCAGTCCATCACAGGACACACACACACTCTGGAGAGGACACTAGTCCATCACAGGACACATACACACCCTAGACAGGACACTAGTCCCTCACAGGACACACACACATATCCTGGACAGGACACTAGTCCATCACAGCACACACAGAAGGACGAGTGCTGTTGAGCACAGGTCCTCCATGAGCTCTGCAGTGACAGGTTACCTGTGTAGCAGAGGAAGTTGAGCTTCTCCTCACAGCCCAGCGCGGCCCAGCTGGAGGTCTCAGTGGACATGGCTCCACAGCGGCCCGACTTGGGGCACTGGGGCTGCTCTCCCCGGGCCCACGCAGTGTACCTCAGGGGCTCCCTGTTCACCCAGAACCAGGAGCCGGATACGAAGCTCTGCCTGAGGCCCAGCCACACGTGGGGAGACCGGGCGCCTTCCACCTCCAGGGCGGCGAGGTCCTGCTCCGTCTGAGAGAGGAGGCTGGTGAGGTCAGTGTGGTGAGTCCTGCAGTAGTCCAGCGCCTCCTCCCAGCTCCTGTTCTCCTTCACCAGGACCAACTGAAAGTCTGAAGATGGATGGAGAATCTGGGATTATCTTTCAGCCTGCTGGTCGGGCTGGCTCGGAAAACAAAACAAACTGAGAGAGAAATATTGAAAACCACAAGGCGTCTAAACGACCAGACAATCTTTTGAATCTATCAAACTAGAATATCACATTCAATGCCAGTTTAAAAGCCCAATGTTTAATTACAGCTGAACAAGAGTTGTTATGGAAGATTGTGCCACTGATCACGATTCGGGTTCTAGATTCCTGACTGCCCCAACCTCTGTGAACAGTAGTGTCTCCTGTCCTGACTATAGGATCTCATCCAGCTGTTTCTTATGAGGGAAGCCCGGGTATTGGCTTCAGATACACAGCTGGGCAGCTTGTTCCACAGTCCCACCACATTTTGTGTAAAATAGTGCCTCTTGTTCTCTGTTTTAAATGCATCTCCCTGTAGTTTCTGATTTTGAACTGGGGATTCTGAATACATTTGAGGATTCTTCTCTGTTCTCTGTTTGAAGACTAAATAGACTCAGTTCCTTCAGCCTGTCAGTGTGGGACACTCCCTTCAGAATAAAGAGACTCAGTTCCTGCAGCCTGTCAGTGTGGGACACTCCCTTCAGACTAAAGAGACTCAGTTCCTTCAGTCTGTCAGTGTAGGGCATTCTCTTAAGCACCAGAATGTAATGTATCTGGTTGCTGTTCTATGGATGGATTCCAGAGTGGAAGTATCTTTTCCCCATTATTACCAAAAATAACATCTGTACAGAAGAGTTTACTATACGTAAGGTTTGTCTCCCAGGTCAGTATATAGGCAAAATCTTGAAACTACTATTGGGCAAATGGATAGAAGAGGATGGCACTAGAATTGTGAATCAGAGCAATAAATACTCTCAGCTGGGGAAAGGTTTAAGCCTCAGTGAAGAATCTTCATTTCTTTCACCTTTTTGATGGGGTGACATCAAAAATTAAATTCTGGGGGCTGAGCAGGTCACCTCAGTGTTGGATTATGAAGACTATTACCTCAGATTTGGGTCACTGGGGACTCGGATTCTGAAAATCTGCTTCTATAGTACAATTATCATGGGGCTGTTTCAGGAGAAGTTAGAGGGGACAGTGGCTCCTGGAGGGGAACCGGGTTCGAGCCCCCAGATGGTGGCGACAGTGGTAGAAATAAAAGAAAAAAAACAATAAGTTGTTAAATGTGTCCCTTTAAGCCAATAATGAGCTGATAAAGATAGTTAAAAGCCGGGTTGGAACGAAACCCTGTAGACACACTGATTAGGACCTGGATTGGGTGTCCATATGCTAAAAGAATTATTTATGTACTAAATTAAAAAGTTTCAAAAGCATAAGCCCATTTGTCTCCCTCACTGCTGTTCTCACAAGCCTCACCGTGTTGACAGAAGAACGGTTGCAGAGTCTGGCATGTGACGTCATTCCACTGACTGCCGCTCTCCAGGCTCTGAAGTACACACTTCTCACTGTCAGCTAAGTTTTTTGGTTCCCCTCTCGCCCAGTTTCGGAATGACGAGTCTCCCCCGTCGGACCACTCCCAGGGCTCATTGAACAGCCCGATCCAGAAGACGCTGCCCTGCGCCGCCTCCCTCACTGCCTGGTTCTCGCTGGGGCTGCTGATGGTGACCAGGTCAGTGTGCTGCTGTCTGCAGTGATCTCGAGAGGCTGCCCAGGTCTTGTTCTGCTCAATCAGGGTGTAGGTCCTGGAGCCCTGGCTGGAGTCTGAGAGAGACACACAGGCTCAGACAGGAGGGGTGTTGTGAAGGGGATAGCGTTGGGGTGCTGTGAGGTTTTGGGGTGAGAGTTAGGGTACTGTGGGGATTTGGGGGTGACTGTACCTGTGTAACACATGAAGTAGTGCAGCTCATCACAGACGACATCTGTCCAGTACCCATCCGGACCAGCGGTGGCGCAGAAGAGCCGGGTCTTCCAGTTGGCATAGCTGGCCCTCTCTCCGCTGACCCACTGCCAGTTCTCCTTACCGTGGTACAGCCCGATCCAGGTTATACAATGACAAAAGCCCGAAGTCTGTAAAAGCTGATCATGTTCCTCCTGGCTGTGTATGGAAGCCAGGTGCCTGTTATCTGCCCTGCAGTAGCTGTGAGCCTCCTGCCATGACTTGGCCTGTGAAACAAACTGGCATGATTTCGGAAGCACAGGACCTGGATAATATGGAAAAATGTTTTACATAATCAGCAAAAGCCTCCAGCACAAGCACTGATTTGTGGCTGAATTCCTAGTCTTATGGTGTTTTTTTCAGGTGTTTCTCTATTTCATTTTCAGATGCATTTAAGACAATGACGATTATTACTGATGCACTTGCTGCTACTACCATATAAATATATATGAAACAGGCAGGATGTAGGGACAGGATGGTTGGCACAGGCTGGCTTGTGCCATTGGGAAATGATGAACTGTGATCATGTTGAGATGTGAGGCCCATGCTGAGAAAAGGGAATCACTTACTGTGATCTTAAGCCCACTGATTACAGACAATTTCTTAGTCCAAACAGCCTTATAGTTGAAAGGTCACTGGTAGAAATCAGGGGCCGGGCACTTGGCAGCTGTGCCAGGACACCCCAAGGGCCACTCCTCCCCTCTGCAAGGAGGGGACACACTTCTCCAAGCGTTGTCAGGATCGCCAGGCCCTGAAGTCAAACAGGGCTACATTCTTACATTCTTGTGTGCTAACGTAAGATCTGTCATGACTGAGAATAGTTGTTCACAGTATGAATTGACCTCTAATATCTTAGCTTTATTAAAGAATTAAAAAAAATCACAAATTCACTGTCGTTACTGTGGTCTATGTCCTTCCTCTATGTTTGAGACAGAACAAAGGCCCCACTACTGACTCACATGGGACACCCTGTGTCTTAACTCTTACAAAAAAAAAAGGCGCCATCCTTCGGATGAGACATAAAACTAAGGTCCTGACTCCCTGCAGTCATTAAAAATCCCAGGGTGTTTCTCGAAGAGAGTAGAGGTGTTACCCCGGCATCCTGGCCAAATTTCCCACCGGCCTTTATTAATCATGGCCTCCTAATAATCCTCCTCTCTGAACTGGCTTCATCACTCTGCTCTCCTCCCCACTGAGAGCTGGTGTGTGTGAGCAGACTGGAGCATCATCCAGGTGGGGCTGCACACTGGTGGTGGAGGAAGAGAATCCCTGTTACCTGTAAAGAGCTTTGAGTGGAGTGTGTCCAGAATATGTGTAAGTATATTACTTTTATTTATTATTATTGCATAGAAGCCAGTGGATGACCCTTATAAAGGCCTATTGTGCATCCAGAATTCCACACAGGAAACTCGGATATACAGTAGGCTGCCCCTGACAGATTCCTAAAGACTAACGCAGGCTCAGTCACGGCCAATGGGGAAGTGCTTCATCACAGACACAATACTGGGATGTGTACGAAGGCAGGCTTAGGGAACCTGACCGCACTAGTCCTGATTTCTGGGCTAGCTCCTGTTTAGTTTGTTAGCAGGAAACACAACAGATTTGCCGTGAAAGACCGACAGGGAAGCAGAGGTCGAGCTCACAGCCAGGCTTGAATGCATGGGGCCAGCACCAGTGAGGCCACGATACTGGCGGCCAGGCTGCAGTCTGGCGTGAGCGGGGCCCCGGGGGGCCTGGAGCCCAGGTTGCAGAGTGTGGCGGAGGATGCGGGCGGGGCCCGCGTTGAGCACTAGCAGGGGCGTCAAGGGCGTCTCAGCCACCCTGCGGGGTGCAGGGCTTGGCAGACATCACGGAGAGCCAGAGGGGGATGGGAACTGGGGATGTGAGATGCATAAAAGCCGTCCCCACTGCAGCTGTGAGAGATCAGCAGAGGAAAGCTCTGTCCACTGGCAGACAGCAGCCTCTTTCGCGGGGACACCAGGAGAAGGGGCGAGCTCTGGGGTTCCCCACGGATCTGATGAGGCGCAGGCCTAGGTGTTGTGTCGCCCATGACACTTCCCCTTGCCGATGCCTGCACAGGAACCGAGCAGCCGAGATGAAAAGAATCGGAGGTTTTGAACAGTCTTACCATCGCAGCAGATGAAGGGGTATGTATCCAAGCAGCCTCCATCATTCCACTGCCCTCTTGACCAGTTGCTGAAATACAGGTCTGAGCAGCTCTGTGTGAATTCCCAGTTGTTTGGCTGCGTCTCGTTCCAGTACGAAAAGGTAAAATTGCTACCGTCGGACCACTCCCAGGGCTGGTTGAACAGCCCGATCCAGAAGACGCTGCCCTGCGCCGCCTCCCTCACTGCCTCATTCTCTCTGGGGCTGCTGATGGTGACCAGGTCAGTGTGCTGCTGTCTGCAGTGATCTCGAGCGGCTGCCCAGGTCTTGCTCTGCTTAATCAGGGTGTAGGTCCTGGAGCCCCGGCTGGAGTCTGACAGAGACACACAGGCTCAGACAGGAGGGGCTGTGGGGGGTCTGGGGCTCAGACAGGAGGGACTGTAGGGGTCTGAGGCTCAGACAGGAGGGGCTGTGGGGTCAGAGAGCTGGGGTGCTGTGGGAACATTTCCTCAGTAATGTGTGAAGAAACTACTAGACCTGACCTGCATTACATGACCCTGTAGACCGATGTAATACTGGGCATTTTTACATGGTGCCACAAAATGTGTGTCCTGATTCTGAGTTCCTTCAGCATGAGTAAATGAGCACCGATTTCTCCAGTCTCCTCATTGGAATTACCAGCATTTCAATACACTTCCACACTGTGAGAATGCCTCTCATGCTCAGGTTCCTCGCTTCTTTCATTTGGAAAAGTAATATTTTAGGTAAAGACCTCTATGAATCAAAACCAACTGGAGGTATGGAAATAAAGTATCTGCACCAGGGTGGGGATAGTGGCATAGCTGCACCACACCGGGTCTGGAACAGTTCTTGAAATAAGATTATCTCAAAAGGGAGACAGATCCAGAAGGTTCTGGGGACTAATGACAGAAACTAACATTGTTTCCTCTTTCCTTAGGGGAAGTAATATTTTAAGTAAATTCATTACAATTAAAATGACCAAAACAGCTAATAGCTTTAAAGAGTTTGAGCCCAAATGTGACGCAGTCGAGGAGGAAAGTCAGACTGCTGCTGTGAGCTCTGAAGTTGTGTAGCTCAGATCCTCATGATGCCTTCGAAAGCTGCACCCTGATTGGCTGAGGGACTCAGTGATTTACCAATGAGAAGGAAGCTGTCCACCAACCTAGCTAATTAGGACTAGACAGCGTCCCACCTTGCCCGAGAGCCACCCAGAGCTGTAGTGAGATGGGTTTGGACATTCCAGACTGGAATAATTATGCACTGAGTCTGTCTGTAGCATCAAAGACTAAAATAACTACAGTTTCCGAGAGTTTCCTACTATTATGGTGTGTCTTACTAAGTTTACCTGTGTAGCACATGAAGTAATGATTAGCATGGCACAGTGCGTCTTCCAGAGTGCCCTCCGTGTTAACCAGGGCACAGAACAGGACTCTTTTCCAGCCGTGGAAAGTAACCTCCTGTCCATTGGACCACTGCCAGTTCTGCGTCTCCCTATACAGCCCGATCCAGGCGGCCAGTGCGCCTGGCCTCCCTGCTGCCTCCTGGAGCCGATCCAGGTCTGCCTGGCCGCTCACAGTGGCCAGGTCACCGAAGATCGACCTGCAGTACTTCTGAGCACCAGCCCAGGTCATATTAATCTTCATATAGTAGTACTTCATGGCCGGGGCCGGGGCGATCACACAGACTGCGGGGGAGAGGAGGAGAGAGGAGTCACGCGGGCGGAAAGCCTTTAAAGAATTGAAACGGCTGGAAGGGCCTGCCGCTGATCACAAACAACCACCTTGGCTCGGTGCTGTGGATGGCTGCTGTTAGATTGCTGGACCTTGGATGGAAAGACTGAGATAACAATTGTTGTTGTTTTTTCTGCCACTAGGGGGCACTAGAAGAGTACCGGCACTTTCCAGGCACAACAGTATAAGAAGACCTTGCATCGTCCTAGACAGATTTGCACAATGGATTTGTATCCAGTGTGAAGCACTCTGGGATAACTCCAGTAGGAAGCCTGATACTCTGAAGGCTGTGGGCTGGAGGACAGGCTGTGTTTGAGCAGGTCCTCACTCCCGAGTCCCTGACAAACAAAGGAGAAGTCACCTGCCAGGAGAGCGACAGCCAGCTGAGCCTTCTCCATGACGACGGTCCAGGAAAACCAAGGAACGGGTAAAAAGGAGACTGGAGTCAGGGAGTAGGTTCACAGCGTGGAGGACGTAACACAGCAGGAGACAGAATCGTCCGCTGTCCTACAGAAAAATACACAACGTGTCCGCAGTGCAGCTTGACAAAACTTGATTGAATTCTGGGAGAAAAAATACTGAATTCCCCAGAGCTTCATTTTCTTTTTTTCCCACATGAATTACAGAAAGTATCATTAAAAACCTGAACTCATCTTAAGTGCCCAACAGCTACACGCTGGTCAACAGCTACATTGGTCAACCACTATACACTGGTCAAAAGCTAAACACTGGTTTCTGGTTAACAGCTACACAAGGGTTAACAGACGTGACACGTTTAGTGTGTCTCTGCATCTACTTCCCCAGAATGTAGGGACAATGGCCCTGTCTCTCTCTTCCTCTCTCTCTCTCTCTTCCTCTTCGTCTGACAACAGATTCCCAGTGACCCAAGGACCCTCGTGTCTGCCCCCGTCTGCCAGCAGAACCAGCTTCACGGAACTCAATCCTTCCTGTCTTCACAAAGAGAGGCCCACTGTCTGTGTTGCACGAGACTGGCCTGGAGAGTGGGCATTTTAAGACAGGGAGCAGCCTGAGGGCACTGCCCCATCCAGGTGGCAAGACGGAGCAG